ACGGACTGTTCTATATAATCTCTAATTCCTTCTAAAAACTACCACTCGGATACAGATCAAACGGATTTTGATCACAACATCAAGTAGATGATCCACATGCCAGGTGGAACTTATATAGGGGGTGAAAATCCTGTTACTAGTTTTAAACCACCTTTCTACTAGGTCCTGTTGTGACTGCATCCGTCGTGGGTAAGGCACATTATGGAATATTATTATAGAGATTAACTCCAGTATTCCAGTTACTGTTATCACCGATCTTCGGGATGTACCACTAGTATAATATAGTACTACCGTTTTCACCACCTGTGGAACTGGCATTCTTGCTTAGATTCCGATTTAATCTTGTAAGTCCTCACTAGACACATTTGGCTTAACAATTTTTGTCTAGTATTCTTACTACTTGTGGCTGATATCTTGCCCTTCAGTCATATGATTAAGTTCTGTAGAACACCACCATTGGAATAGATCTACAAGCTCCAGATTGGAATAAAACGGCTTAGAATTAATCTCTTTTTTGAGATTGTGTGATAAAGTCTGCCATCGCCAGTTTGGGTTAGAGTGGGCTTTTTACCAGAGTTAGACCAGAAGCCTTTCCTCATGCGACCTTCCTTGCTTCAACCTGTTTTCAGCCCATGATTGTCAGAAAGACCAGAGGTCATATCTTTATATAGCCTAATTAATTTTTGAAAAATGATTTGCAGCTGATTAGATATAACATGAATTGGAAGCCAGTCAACCAATTATGAAGGTGATAAATTTTTGTAACCAGATGGGGTTAAACCCTAGATCTTCACCTGGTGACCTATGGAGCTTTATCACTGAGCTATAGACCCATAGAATATAATAATATTATTATTATTTGATAAATAAAGTTTTGTATTTTGTTTATTTATAGTAAAAAAAAAAATTAATAAACATAAATAGCATATAGTCTAATTAAAAGTAAAAATAATAATAATATATTATATACTTTTTTTTTTTAACATTGATAAATATCAATTCTTTATTTTATATATATACTAAAATATAACTACAAAAAAGAATATACAGTATATCTCTTATAATACATGAGTTAAATATTAGTTTATTAATGATTTATTTATCCAAACTATATTAGAAAAGAAAGTTTAAAACTAATATAATATTTAGAAAAGAGTAAAAAAAAAATCTAGTATATATTAAAATTAAACAAATAACTTTTCATATTATAATTTTGACTTATATGGTTATAAAAATAGAGAGGAGTTAATATAAATATGTATTTTCTAATAAATATTTCAAACTGTAATCTTTAATTAATACAAATTACCAAATCTAGAGACTTCAAAGGTCAAGTGAGACATAATTTCAAAATCTCTTAATAGATATTTCAAAAAATTTAATTAACTTAAGTTATTAATTCTAGAAACAAAATTATTAAGTAAAATATAACTCCTATATATTTGATAAGCTGTTAACACTTCCATAATAAACTTATATATTTATATTTATATCATAATTCTTTTTAAAGTTATTTAATTAATATTAATACAAAGAGACCTCCCTAAGTGCACTTTCTATAAATGCACTTACTATATTTTCTCTCTCTAAATGCATAATCAAGCTTGGTTCCAAGTACATAGAACTCTTAATAAAATTATCTCCATAAATGCACACCCTCTATAAATGTACATTTTTCAAAAAATTTCCTATGGTCCTAAGAGATGTGTATTTAAAGAGGATTCACTGTATATGATAAATTGCTATTGGTAGTTGTTATTATTATTAATAATAATAATATTATTATTAATATTATTGTTATTAATATCATTATGACTATAAATAATATGATTTTGGTAAAATATAATTAGTTGAAATATAATACTAATTTTTTAATAAAAATAAACTGACTTTATTTTTTTGTTATGAAAAAAAAAAACCAAAGTGATTTTGTATATATAAGTAAAAAAAATATTAAATTAAAGATTTTTCTTTATATAACTTTTATTTATAAGATATTTAATCTTAAGGAATTTGATCAAAAATTTTATCCTTATACAGCTTGAGTCTTTATAACCAAATTCTTGAAGTTGACTTATATATAACAGATCTTTAGAGTATAGAAAGCTTATTGTATCAATTTTGACAGAAATAACTTTTTGTCTTAAAAAAAAAACCAATTTTTTATTCAATATATCTAGACTTTAATCTTTTTATTTGTAATATCTAGAACTACTTAACATAAACCTTTTAGGTTATAATAGAAAAAGATAATCAGATATTTTCTTTAAAAATTTTTTTTTGTTTTCAATAGTAATAAAGGAAAAGAAAATGTTTTTTTAAAGAAAAAAACAATTTAACAAAATCTCAAACTTTTTTTATTAAATTTTTTAAAAAAAATTTTTTTTAAATATCTGAAATATATTATATACTGTATATTGTCTTTTTTTATAGTAATTATGAAAATAAAGAAAATACTGTTATAATAAATTCAGTTATTGAACAAGTGTGCTATAGTCACATGGTATACTTTAATAGATAATGTGACTATTTCGGGAGGTGACTGATCGCAAAAGAGAAAAACCAATCAGAATCTCTTTAAAAAAAAAAAAAAAAAGTTAATATAATCGCATCTATGGATGTACGGATAACTTTGCGTTCCCTCCTATTCATCGAATTCGTCAATCCGATTGAAGGTATAACGAAATAATGGCCGTGAAGAAAACAAAGAAATCCGCCGAATCAATTAACTCACGTCTCGCTCTTGTTATGAAGAGTGGACAATATAAACTGGGATATAAGAGTACGCTTAAAACTTTGCGTCAAGGAAAAGGTGCAGTAACTTCAACGGAATTGGATGATAAAATAAAGATGTTTTAAATATAAAGAGGGACAGGAGCCAATATTCTGAACGTCTTTTCCAGTTTTCTTTTTTTTGTTTAATTGGCAGAGATAGTCCCTTTTTATATTTATCGAAGTACTGACTTCTATTTGATTTTATATTTCAAATATCAAAACCCATTTTGGTTCATAACATTTTTGAAATAGCTAAACTTGTAATTATCTCTGCCAACTGTCCACCATTGAGGAAGCATGAATTAGAGTATTATGCAATGCTTTCAAAAACTCCTGTACATCATTATTCCGGAAGTAAGTACTAAAATTTAAAACCTATTGTTATTAAAATATTTGTGAATTCATTTATTTTTTTTCTTAGACAATATTGATCTTGGTACCGCCTGTGGTAAATATTTCCGCGTGGGGGTTTTGAGCATCACTGATCCAGGTAATTGTTCGATTTACTACGATTACGTATTTTCTACGAATACTGAATTCATAATACTTTTATTATATTTATTTCATAGGCGATTCGGATATTCTTTCATCCTCCAACTAGATTTCTTTTTCTTGTAAGCATTCACGTGATTAAATTAACAGAAGAATTCTTAGTGTAGATGATGTTTGCTTATTTGAATTTTCAACGCCTTGCTTGAAGTAAAAATTAATAAATCTATGCTCTGATTACTTTCTAAATTGTTGGATGGTTATTAAGCAATCATTTTATAAATGTTACAGGAGACATGGACGGTAAATAAGTATAAATATATTGATTTTTACAATAGTTATGATTTTATTTTTACATCATTGACATAAAAATTAAAATAGTGTGTGAAACGAAATCAATAAACATGATGCAGTATCTTTATACTGTGCCACATGGTTCTCACGTGACAAACCATTTTAGGTCCAAATAGTTATTACATGTACTTTTACGAGTAGTCATCTGTCTAGTGAAAGTGATTAAAAGAAAGAGTTCCTTTACCCTCAAAAAAACAGCCAAGAAAATCAAATAACGTCGAATAAGATTAAAAATATTTATACAATATAAAATTAGGAGTATAATTTTTCGGTCCAAAAATTTTTTTAAATCTATGAAGAGTAAATTGTAAGAAAATCTATAGAACCGATATTATTGAAAAAAAAAAGAGCAAACCAAGTAATAATTTACCTCATCAATATCAAATTCGAAATTACATTCATCATCCTCTGGGCCAAATGTATCTGTTTCGTTGATCTTTGCTGTTTTCACAAAAGCGAAGCAAATTAATACTTTGATCTACGTAATATCTTTATATGAAAATACGATCCGTTACCAGTTTCTGGCAATTCGCCATATGCTTTCAAATTTCGAGCTTCTTCGGTTGTATATTTTAGAATTACATCGGCTTTTGCATCTTGGTAATCGCGCAATGAGATCAAGATAATGTCACCTTGATTAATCCATACCTTTACGTTTTTGGGAGAAAGTTACATGTCAAATTCCCCAACATATAAACCATCAAACAAACAACAAGAATAGTATGTGTTCCTTTACCTTCTTCCGTAGCTTACCACGAATGTGTGCTAATCGTTTCTCGCCATCAAAGCATTGAGCTTCTAAGCGACCATTACCAAGCATTTTGATCACTTGTGCATATTCTATTGTAAGGAAAATGACTAAAGGTTTGAACTCGTCGAGTAAAAAGAAAGGATCGAAATTCAAAGAATATTAATACCTTGTCCGTCTTCTTTAAAAATCAGTTCTCTTTTTTCGGACTCGTTTTCATTTTTTCCTCTTCGTCTGTTTTTCCCTCCCTAAAGTTGATCAGATAATTTTAACCCAGATTCAAACTACTCGTCGTTAGTTTAAAGAAATACATTGGAATACACACTTTTCCTTTGTTTTTCGGCATGTTAGAATTTTAATTTCTGTAAGCTTTCTCCGAATGATCCGTGTTTAAAGAAAACTTTTTGTATACGTATATAGAAAAAAATTTTTTATTTTTAAAATTTCTAATACAAAAAATGCAAGCCAATAGAAACCTGGTTGTCAATCTATATAATTCTGCAGGTAGGTTACACAGTACATAGTAGCCATGGCTTCTTTGGAAAATGGCAACAGTTTCTATTTCACGTCCAAATTGCATTTTTATCTTAATGGAACAAGTGTTGAGATTGATAACCCCGACCCTGACACAACCTTGCTTCAATATGTTCGATCCATTGGTCTAACGGGGTAAAGTTTTCTTTTTCTTTCTTTTTTTTTTACCAAAAAGAAACTTCGAATTCATATCAACATTAGGACCAAATTAGGATGCGCTGAAGGTGGCTGCGGTGCGTGTTTCTTCTTTTCCTCCTCTTTTCTTATGTTACTAATTATCCTTAAATTTATCAAGATTCCTACGTAACCTAATGTTGACATTTGATATATATCTCTTCCAAATTGCCTATTTCAGGTGCTTGCACAGTTTTGGTGTCTTCCTTTGACCCATCGACGGACAAGATTTTACATTGCTCGGTCAATGCTTGCTTGGCACCATTGTGTTCGGTCGATGGAAAACACGTGATTACAATTGAGGGAATTGGTAATGTGAAAAAGCCGCATCCCGTTCAGGTATGTTTCACATGATTTTTTGTTGACAAGGTATCCATAATAAGTGTATTCCGTTAAATCACAGGAACGAATAGCTTTGCTACATGGGTGGGTGAAAATTTCAAATTACGCTCGAAGTTGGAATATATGACTCATTCTATGATAATAGATCGCAATGTGGATTTTGTACACCGGGAATTGCGATGTCACTTTATGCCTTGCTACGGAATAACCCTTGTCCCACTGAGGAGGAGATTGAAGAATGCTTTGATGGTATGCGCAAGTGTTACCCTATTATCGTATTCATATTTCTTCAAAATATCGAGTGACTTTTTATTCAGGGAATCTATGCAGATGTACGGGCTATCGTCCGATATTGGATGCCGCAAAGACTGTAAGCATTCAAGATTTTCTGTTAATTTTCTATTAATCTGCTGAACCTAACTCCACAATGATATTTAGTTTTCTAAATTATCGGGTGACAAAAATGAAATCACGGCAAATAGTTCTGAAAGCAACGCGTCTTCTCAGGTATTGAGCGTTTCTGTTGATGGGTTTTATGTCATGAATTCCTCCTTGCTAATGGTTTTGCGTGCATTATAGAGCAATACTTGCGGTCGTGTTGATTGCTGTAAATTGAATAACAATTTCAACGGCGAGGTCTCCGATTGCAAATTTCCACAGGCAATCATCTGTCTTTTTTAATAAAACTTGTTATTTTGTGGTTCGAGTTCGTGTTCATAAAACTTTTGTCTAATTACAGATAAAATTCAAAGAATACGATGCTACTCAAGAATTGATATTTCCACCATCACTCATGAACTACCAACCGAGGTTGCTTTGTTTCTCCGGTAGGAAAACAAAATGTTACAGACCCGTTAGTTTGATGCAATTATTACATTTGAAAGTAAAGTATCCAGAAGCAAAACTTGTGGCCGGTAATACTGAGGTCGGCATAGAAACAAAGTTCAAGAGATTGAAATACGATGTTCAGATATACGTGGGTGATATATCAGAATTGAAAACTTGGGAATTTCAGGGTTTGCTATATTTTACTTCACTGCCATTTCTTTCTATAGACGTGAAACCGTTCTAATATGAAATATTTTGTCTCATCAGAGGACGGATTAACTATTGGTGCAAACATCAGTCTCTCAGCATTCCAATCTGTCTTAAAAAAAGCATGTAAACATTATCAGGTTTGTTTTTATTGTTTAACGTGTGCGTCTCTTATTTCAAAGCTGCAAGTATCAACCTGTCTTTCTTTCCCTTTTCAATTAAGCCTCATCAAATACAAATTTTCGAATCATTGTTGGCTAACCTACGATGGTTTGCTGGAAACCAAATACGTAATGTGGCTTCTCCTGCTGGAAATATTGTTACTGGTTCGCCGATATCGGACCTGAATCCTATATTCCTCTCCACATGCAAAAAATTTGTGGTTTCTTCTCTGCAAGAACCGTCCTCATCAAAATCTAGTCGTGACATCTCACCAACAGCATTCTGGACAGGATATCGACAGAATTGTTTGAGTAAAAATGAGGTCTTGGAAAAAATTTTCATTCCATGTTCAACGCGAGGACAATATGTGCGAGCATACAAGCAGGCCAAAAGGCGAGATGATGACATTGCCATCGTTAATTCTGGATTCTCTGTCACATTGGGTGATGGAAATGTTGTGCAGGAGGCCGCATTTTCTTTTGGAGGGATGAGCGGAGTTAGTGTCAGAGCACCGGAATCGGAAGAATTTATCTTGGGCAAATTTTGGGGAGAGGAAGCTGTTCTCAAAGGACTTCTCAAAAAATTAAGCGAGGTGATTTCGATTAACATAATTCATCAACGTATTATTCTGTGTCCTAATTCCCTTTGTGACAAGTAGGAATTACAATTGGGATTTTCCGCTCCTGGTGGTATGGCAACTTATCGTAGATCGTTGGTCGGAGGATTTATGTACAAGTTTTGGTACGATGTATCGAAATCGGTGGGCATTAAAACGACGGACTTTGGCGATGAAGATTTTACGGGGATCATAGAACGTAGCGTTTCAAAAGGTCTTCAAATAATTGGACAAACTGAGTAAGATATCTTTTTCGTATACAAAGTTCGAATCAACAGTTACATTGATCAATGCATTATCGTAGAGAAGAGAAGAAAATTGTTGGTAGCACAATTCCTCACACGTCTGCCATGAAGCAAGTGACCGGTGAAGCCATCTACACGGACGACATGCCTAAATTTTGCGGTGAACTTTATGGTACACTCGTTTTATCAAAAGTGGCTCGTGCCAAAATATTAAAGTAATTATTGACACCTATGTATGTTTCGATCGCAACACGTTTACAACTTTTTGATTCTCCATTAGGATTGACGCATCAAAAGCCTTGGAGCAACCTGGAATACATGGTTTCTATACAGCGGAAGACGTTCCTGGCAATAATAAATGGGGACCGGTATTTCATGATGAAGAGGTTTTTGCTAGTGACGAAGTGAATTGCGTTGGTGAGTTTGGGAAAAAAAAATTTTTTTATCATTGTTTGTTATATTAATATTTTTTTTTTAACCGTTTCCTTTAATAATTACAATCAGGTCAAATAATCGGCTTGATTGTCGCTGACTCGCAAGAAATTGCAAAGGAAGCAGCCGACTTGGTTGTAATTGAATATGAAGTTTTGCCTCACATATTGACCATTGAGGAAGCCATCGAGCATAATAGCTTTCATCCCTTTGACAAGAGTTTATCGACTGGAAACATTGAAAAAGGATTTCAAGAGTCTGATCATGTTTTTGAAGGTCGGTTTATTTAGACCAACCTGGTTGTTGTAAATAAGGAAGGGTTTTCGTGACTAACGGTGATTAACTAATTTATTTAGGTGAAACAAGGATTGGAGGGCAGGGTCAGTTAATAGTCCATTTTCGTGATTCAAATTGCATTTTAATACACGAATTAACTAAAGTTCATATTCATCAAATTATTAGAACATTTTTATTTAGAGACTAATGCCTCCTTGGTAATACCAAAACCAGAGGATAATGAGATTGAAATTCATGCATCCACCCAGAATCCAACGGAGACTCAATTAGTGTGCGCATCCGTGCTTGGTATTATGGCAAATAAAGTTGTTTGTCGGGTCAAGAGACTTGGTGGAGGTTTTGGTGGCAAGGAGTCGAGATCAATACCTTTGACCCTAGCTTTGTCGGTTGGTGCTTGGCATCTCAAAAGACCGGTTAGATGCATGTTGGATCGAGATGAGGACATTGTAATATCAGGACAGCGGCATCCTTTCTTGGGACATTGGAAAGTTGGCGTCGATAAACGTGGGAAGATTTTAGCCATTGATTTGCAGGCATGCCGTTTACTTAATTTGTAAAATTATTTTCCTGCATTCTTGGCTAAAAAAAACAAAAATTAATTTTTTCAGCTTTATAACAATGCCGGATGGTCAGCTGATCTCTCTCCCGCTGTTATGGAGCGTGCAATGACGCATGTTGATAATTGTTATTACATCCCGAATTTTAGAGTGAATGGAAAAGTGTGCAAAACCAATATTCATTCTAATACTGCCTTCCGAGGTTTCGGAGGTCCGCAAGGAATGATGATTTGTGAGAATATATTATGTGAGATTGCCGATCGCCTAGGGATTGATTTTGCTGAACTTAGGGTGAACACATAATATATTATTTTCTATTTCTTTCGGAATCTTTGGTTCGTTCTATTTACATTTTATCCTTTTTGTAGGAGATGAACTTTTATTCGGAAGGTCAAAAAACTCATTTCAACCAAATATTAACTGACTGGCACGTACCCGCATTGTATCAACAAGTGAAAGAATCTAGTGATTATGTGAATCGAAGGAACGAAATTGAGAATTTTAATTCAAGGAACAGATGGCGTAAAAGAGGCTTATCTTTAATCCCAACAAAATTTGGACTTTCATATACTGTATATCATTTAAATCAAGCTGGTGCTCTGGTTCTTATATATAAAGACGGGAGTGTTCTTGTTAGTCACGGTATGAGACGAATATTTTATCTCGATTTTTACAGTATGCGCCATTTGCTAAAATGTTTATTATTACAAGGCGGGGTTGAAATGGGACAAGGTCTCCACACCAAGATGTTGCAGATAGCGGCCGAGACTCTGAATGTCCCTATAGAAGATGGTAACCTAAAATTTGGATTTACATGCAACTGAATTTCTTATCGTTTAAACAAATTGTTTATCAAACGTCTATTTTTTTAAGTTCATTTGATGGAAACTTCCACGAATGTGATTCCCAATACTTCTCCAAGCGCAGCGAGTGTCAGCAGTGACCTTAATGGATATGCAGTTTTTAACGCGTGCAAGACTTTGGTTGAAAGGCTAAGGCCCTATCGAGAAAAAAATCCAGAGAAAAGTTTTAAGGAGGTAAGGATACAAAATAAATTTGGCAGAGACCTTCTTATCATCTTTTGTAATAAAAATATTTTCCATCATTTATGCAAAAAGATCGTCGTTGATGCATATCTTGACAGGGTTAATTTATCTGCCAATGGTTTCTATAAAACTCCCGATATTCATTTTGACTGGAGCAAAAAGGAAGGACAAATGTTCTTTTATTTTACCACTGGAGCTGCCTGCACTGAAGTTGAAATAGACACCTTGACAGGAGATCATACGATCTTACGCACTGACTTAGTTATGGACATTGGTAGAAGTATAAACTATGCTATAGATATTGGACAGATTGAAGGCGCCTTTGTACAAGGGGTTGGATGGTGTACCATTGAGGAAACTTTACACTTCCCGAATGGTCATGTATTCACAAAAGGTCCTGGGAATTACAAGTTGCCCGGGTTTAGGTAAAAACATTCTTTAATCTCAGGAATTGCGTAAATTTCTCTTTGATTCTGAATTGATTTTTATTGCAGGGATATTCCACAAGATTTTCGTGTCCACACCTTCAAAGGCGAATATCCTAATTTAAAAACAATTCACGGTAGCAAAGGAGTAGGTGAACCTCCGTTATTTTTAGGAAGTTCAGTATTTTTCGCTATTAGAAATGCAATCAAGTATGCTCGGTATGTGACAGATTACAGGTTTAGTTATTCACTACATTTTCAGTTTATGTTCTGTTTTTCACATGATCATTTTACAGGCATGCGAACAACAATTATGAATCATTTGCTCTCCGTTCGCCGGCAACCCCTGAAAGAATTCGACTCGCTTGTGAAGATGAAATTGTAAAGGGTGCTCATGTCGAAAAAAAAAAAGAAGAAAAGGACTGGATCCTTGGTGTCTAACCAGTTACCATCTAATTTATAAACTGTAATATTATCATCTATATTAAAACCATATCTTATTGGACAATCTTTCATCACGTGTAACTTAGTATACATATCATGTGTATTTTAGTTCTGAAAGAAAAATGATCTCACTGACCTCTAAATATTTCGCACAAAGAATAAATCTTTTAATCTTTTCCCGCGGAACACAATTAAAGATTATCGATCCAGTTTTTTTTCGGCGTTATCATTCCAACAGAACCGATGACCTATCAAGAAATGACGCCGATAAAAATCACGAAGACACGTAAACATTTCTTTAAAAATACGTTATATCGATGTTTATTGCGATAAGCTTGTCACACCCGTATTTTATAGGCATTTTGTAAAGAATGGGAAACCCGTTTTAATTCGAGATCCCTATAATCGAAAACGTTTTGAGAAGTATGCTTTAAGTAAAAAAAAAGATCCCGTATATCGATCGCTCAGGAATAAGAGATTTATAGATTCATACATAAAAGTGGATTTTAATTTGTTGGAAGGTTGTTTATTGGGTTTTTTCTGTATCTACCTTAAAATAACAAGCAATAGATTAAGAAAAAATTTTCTCCTCTTTTTTTTTATATCCGTTTTTTAGATTTCTCCTCTTGGTTAAGATATCTGGGATTGTCTAAACACGCGTCAAAATTTCAG